AGGTTGCACTTAGGTACCAATAGGGTGGCCGAGTGATGCTAGACTTGAGTATTGGGAAATTCTATGTAATTATATGTTTTTTAGTTTCAAGAATCTTAATAAAGTACTAGCGTAACTGCTTAAGGTTTAAAAAAAAAAAAAAAAAAAAAAAATTACTATTTTAAAATTATATTCTAAAAAAAAATTACAAGTTTTAATATTTTGAATGCCATCTATTGGCTTTATAAATTGCCATCATTTAACCTAACATACTAAAGATAAGTGAACAAAGATATTCAATTGACATCTTATTCTATTCTTCTTTTATATATTTAATCAATTATTCATGCTTTTTAGACATTGGTCTTTTGTTGCACACTGCTGAATCAAGATGTTCTCAAAGATTTTCAATAGAATTCATGTCAGAACTACAGAGTACCCAATCTAATATATTGAAGTTATGCAATTTTATCCATTATTCTAAATAATCTAACATATGAACAGAAGCCAAATCTTGCTGAAATATTAATTCTATTTCATTTGGATATTTTTTCAACAAAGAATTTGGCAAAGAAATAAAATAATTCACAAGTATATTAACATAACTATCTAAATTCATATTATCTTTACTTCTACTAACAGTCCAACTCCCTATCAAGAAAAACAACCCCAAAACATTACAGAACTGCTACAAAACTTTACAGTTGAATTTATACAATTCTTGTGATATTTTTTATTAACTTGATGCCAAATTCTTGCATGACCATCTGATTTGTGAAGACAAAATCTAGACTTATCAGAAAAAACAACTATTTGCTATTTATTAGTTTATTTTAAATACTCACAACACTACTTTTTTCATTTTCATGCTTTTTTTTTATTCAAAAAAGGCTTTTTGCAAGCTATACAGTTTTTCCAACCTAAGTCATGAAGATACTTTTAGGTAGTTTTATTGGTAAGTATTGTTTTGAGCTTAAGATTAAGCTTATTAATAATAATAGCCAGTAGTGCTTCACAATTTGTATTTGCAATATGAACTAAAGCATGTTTATCATACTTAGAAAGAACTTTACAGAGGCCAGAATGTTTGTTTGGATGCTCTGAATCTGTTTTTTTATACTGTTTAACAGTGTCATACACTGTTGACTTTGGGAAACTGAAAGCTTGAGCAATATGAAGTAGCTTAAAACTACACAGATAAGCACCAATAATATGGCTTTATTGATTTTAACTAAGCTCTTTGCAGAGGTTTTTTTTATTATTAAAAAAAACAATAGTTGTACTTTTTTAAAAAAAAACAAGTTTCATGAAACCAATATTATATATAAAAAAAATTTGCTAAAAAAAAAATTATTGTACATAACTTACTTATAAAAATTTCAGTTATCAATTTCCAGGTACTGTATTTTCATCAGAATTGGCTAGGGTCATTGGTAGGCAAAGAAAATAAATAAATATGAGAACTAGAGTGTTTAAATAGAAAACCTGCAAGAAGGTTTTAGGTATGGCAGCTAGTATAAAACCTTTGGATAAACTATATAAATTAGACAATAACTAAAGTTGTATAAGTGGCTAGTTGTATACTCTTTTTTTGATTGCCTCCTGTAGTTGTAATGCAACCATTAGCCAAATATATTATTAATAAAATTTTGGATTGCAAGTACTCATCTTAATATTTAAAAAAAATAAAATTAAACTATTAGCTACAATTATCTTTATTAATTTTATCTTATTTACTACTAAACACTATAAATATATATCAAAACTTTAGATAATTGCTATAATCATAACTATAATAATATTGCTATAGCAAAGCAAGAAAATATAACCAAATAGAAAATATAATATCTATAATATATTGGCTAATTGACTTTGATACTTTATATACTGAACTATATCTTTAACTTAAAAACAATATACAAAATATCATTTTAACTTAAATTGAATACAAAACAATTATACATTCAATATTTCTACCAATCTTACAACCAATTTTCTAGAAAAAAAAGTTAACATCAATCTCTTTAATATACCAAACCTTTATGCAAATCTACTAGACTTACTTACTCTATTGTACTTCAAAACTTTGTAACAATGCTTTTATAATCTAATATTATAATATACAATAATGCTATATTCAATATTTTGCAAAAAACCAAGCTGTACAAACTTTACAAGAAATTGCACAAAACAACTTATCTTGCTTATAATTTACATTTTATACAGATGGTTCTGTAAATAACATTACTAATAACAGATACAAAATGGATATCAGTAGATTCAAATTTAAGACAGAACTATTTTGCACTAATACTTAGCAAAAATTAAATTCTGGCCCTTATTATACAAGCTAAGCTTATAGCAATTCTCTCTGCAATTAGCACTTGTCCAAAAATAAGCACTAATATCATATAGGTGCTGTTCAATAGAAAAGGATAAGATCTTCTTTTTAAATTTGGTCAATTTGACCAGAATTAAAAAAGAGATCTCTTTTTTTTTTATTGAATAACTCTTACATATGCAAACTTACAGTCTATAATTTTTAATACAACAAACTTATTCAATTACTACCTATATTCAACAAACAATATTCTTATAACTACTGACCAATATAGTATACATTACTTAATTTTGTTATTGCATATTAAATTTAAATTAAATTTTATAAAGTACCTGCATATAGCAATGGTAATATAACTAACAAACTAGCTAAAAACTATAACTAACTATATATACTTAGTTTTATTTATAACAATATATATGTTCCATTATATTTTTTTATTATAACAAATATTCTATAGAGCAACCTGCATACAGAACAATTAAAAACTTTAGTAATGCTTATAATATAGCAATATGGTTCTCTTAACATTAAATAAAAAACACTTTATCTTTATTTGTACAAATTAACTAAGATGCTATTTAGTGCTTTCTTAATAGCAACTATAAAAGATTTGCATTTTATATTAGCTTTAACTATGCTATAAAAAAACTTCTAAAATTAAACTCATATTAGGAATACTATCTATATTATCTCATTTTTATTCTCTTTATTCAACATTATATTCTAATTCATATTGCATTTCTTGCAATGCATATGATAAGCAGCTATATTGGCTAACATGTTCATATTTATATATATTTAATTTTACTATTACTAACATAATACAAGAATTTTTTAATAATTCACAATTTGATATAACAACTATACAACTACAAAAACTTTATAACAAACTTATCAACCATCTATGTCTTTCTTCAAACAATCTTACTAGAAATAAAAAAATAATATAAGACTTTGTTTCAACTATATTAATTAATATTATATAAAAATATATTATTAGCAACTAGCTAGCACCTAATATTACAATAAAATTTCTAATTTAATTATCTTAAAATATATACAACCAAATTTGAAAATCATACTATATTAAACTATCAGAATGGAAACAACAAAACAATATTCCAAACCAACCATCTTGTAACCAATTAACAAACTTTAATAATATATCTAAACTAATATTACAAATTAAAATATTATATACCTATAGTTGTATTTATAGTCTTTTTGACCAACAATATACAAAAGACTTTTGTAACTTATACATTTGTTCATCACAAAAGAAAGCTAACAAAAAAACTATCTAAATAATTATCTGAATAGATAAAATATAATAGTTTACTAATTATATTCTATATTATCAAATCTAAATAAGTTTTAACTACTCTAGTAGGTTTAGGTTGCAGATAAATTAGATAAAATTAATTAATAATTTTGTTTATAATCTGAGTCTTATTTTGTAAAAAATTTGTAAATTAACTTTGGTTTGTATTAACTTATGCAGTTGCTTATAACAAATTATTAATAAAAATAAAAGCAAAACCTTATCTTAATATTAAAACAAATAATTTTAATAAAACTGTTAGGTTGTTGTTTGGTCAAAACCTTAGCAAAAAATATTATAAACTTTAACTACTTAACACAAAAACAATACCCAATTAAAAACTTTTTAATACTATAGCTACAATACTACAGCTACAATACTATTAACTTTTATAACTACAATGTTAGACAACTTTGATACTGCCAAATTAACTTATAGTTAAATTACTCAAAAATAACTTAATATATTTAAGTTTAATAACATTAATGCTTTAGAATAGTCAGATATTCTATATGCTATAATTACAGAAAAATAAATACACCATTTGATCAACAAATCTGGTTTTATAAAAAAATTACTAAGATATTTCAAACACCAATCAGAATATATAATTTTATTAATTATAAATTAATTATTACACTAATTTAATTTGTAATTTTATTTGCAATATTTTTATATTTAGATATCTTAATACAAATTTTTTTACTATTTTAACCAAAAATGCAAATACTACACTAGCATACTAAAAAAAATATACTAACTTATACAATAATGCTTAGCTATATATAAACAAACTATTTAATTTACTTATTATAAATTAAACTATTTAATTTATTAGCTTTTTTATTTTAAAATAATTACAGATACAAACATTTACAAAACTATTAACTTTATATTTAGACAAATACTTATATTATAATATTTTTTAAATATTAACTTTATTGTCTATATCTCTTTTATAATCTACAAAACTATTATATTATTATTATCAGACTCTAATTAAATCCAGAATATATTTAAAATATTTTATTATTTATACTTTCAATTACACAAAAGTTATATACAAGGTTTATCATTAATGTACTTAAGAAAATCTTCAAATTTAACAAATTAATAAACAACTATTTTGCAAAACTTTTAACATTAACTAATAGATATTAAAAACTTCTTTTAGAATTACAAACCTATTTTCTAATAGCTAATAAACAATTAATACAATATCTCTCATATTTTAGATACAAACCTGTCACAACTACACTTTTACTATAATCTCAAATTTATATTTTTTTTTTTTTTTTTTCCTTTGAGCAGTCACGATAATACTTTATTAAACCATTTGTAGCTATATTTGTAAATACAGAATATCATTTAACTTATAAGTCTACTATCATCTGGCCACCCAAACAGTACCTAAATGCGACCTGCCGCACTAATCCAGTTAGGACTAGAAATTACAACTCGTCTGACCCTGCCCTACAATAGGATACTGCCAATCTGGAGACATCTTCTCGTAGGGAAGAGAAAAACAAAAAAAAAGAAAAAAATGATTTTAAAGTTGGGGAAGGGAGGAACGAAAATGGAAAGTAAAGTAAAACTAACAAAAAAAAAACAAAACTAATCTATAAGGAGAATAAAGGAGGAAACCTGCTAATAGGATAAAACTCTATTCTATGATTGCTGCTCACTACAATGTTTTCATATTTTAATGGGCTATGGCTATTCTCTAGAAACTAGGTACTCTTAACCAGAATGAAAACTGTATTCATTTGTAGGATGGAGTTTAAGCTGGGCACTTTCTATATAGGAGAATCTTCAAGTAGGTGAGGTACTGTGCCATGGTTTGGAGTGCACTTAAGCGGTCCAATTCTTCATAAACCCCTGTATTCATTTTTTTTTAAAAATATTATGCACATGGCCTTGGAATATATGCATATCTCAATATATTTTTGGTCTT